GGGACGGTTTGTGGCCGTCTGTGTGTCAATGTGTTACTTGTCGTTTCTTTGTAGTTATTTGTGTTTCCCATCACAGGCTTGACTGATGATGAGGTGGAAGGTGTGGGTGGAGGTTTCAAAGCTTTGGTTTACAAGACAACTGAGATGTTCTGGCCTCAGAACACTGGCATGAAGGTGGAAGATGAGACTGTGAGTGTTAGGGCAGGGCCATGTGGCAACGTCAGAACGTTTGATTCAGATTTTTTTAACATAGTCAACTTAAAAACGTAACTACAACATGATTCAAGTAACATTCTCTTTATTAACCATCTGGTTAAAAAAGTTATATTCCATGTGCAGCACACATGAAATGGTCAACATGGTGTAAAGGTGAAACAAATGGCTAGTTAAAAATCTGTGCAGAAAAGATACATGAAATATGATGACACACACACACACACTTCCTGTTCACAAGTTTGGGGTCAGTAAGGTGTTAATATTTAGCACTCAATTGCTTATATATTAACATGCTTATAAGATGCCTATATGTACGGCTTGCATCACAAGAATAAATACTATATTCAAATGGAAAAGGTCATTTTTAATTGTAATAATATTTCACAATATTACTGTTTTTACTGTATTTTTGCTAACAAAAAAATCCAGCTTTGGTGAGCAGAACAGACTTAAAACATTAAAACATATTTCTGACCCCAAACTGTTGAACAGTCATGTAGTTTTATGAAGTTGGACGCAGTCTTGTATAATATATCACACTCAATATATATTTAACGTTACATTTCAGATGTTTATAATAGTTTGTGGAAAATATAAGGGAAGAAGAGAGTGTGAAAATGAAACTGGTGAGTGTGATCTGGTGCCTGTTCTGGACTATATAACAGGAAATGATGATGCAACGCTGTTCTCATTTCTCAAAAAAGCAAGGCTTTTCGTAAGTGTACGCTGTCTCGATGCTGACAGACAGTCCATGGATCAGTCTTTGTGTTTAAATGTCATCTTTTCCTTTATTAAAAAGGTCTTATCGTTTCTTTCAGTGATTTTTAATAAAGGAAGAGTTTGTTTGAACATTGTACAACCTGGCTGTTTTAGACAAATGAGCTTAAGCCAGACAGTTTGTGTTTGAAGGTACAGCTTGTAAAGTTGTAAAGCTTTTTTTTAATACAGTGTAGCATATATAAACATCAACATGATCCAATCACAAGCGGTCAGTGCTGAATTCAACCCTAAAGGGTGCTTTTGTGATTGGAACAGTACCATTTCCAAGAATTTTGTTGTTTTGTTGTTCCGTCTCTTTTTGACACTCTTTCTTCCACGTTCTCCTGAGGATAAGTAACACATTTGAAGCGCTGGCTTGACCAGTTCTGCTCATGAAGCAGTACAGAAGTGGATCGGCCAGGCAGTTGAGCGTCGTGAGGAAGACGCTGACCTTATATCCGAAGAAGAGCCAGTTGGGATACGGACAATCCTCCAGAAAAACCCTCAAAACCATCATGATGTGTACAGGTCCGAAACACAAATAGAGGGTCAACAAAATGCTTCCAAGAAGCCTGAAGACGTGCCGGCGCTCCATTGACACAAGCGTTTGGTTTCTCTTCACGTCCGAACATATCCGCCAGTAACAGAAACCCACCACCAATGCGGGAATGAGGAAGCCTACTACAAAACGAGCAATGTTGACCAATTTTTGAGCTGTGGGCAAAGGAAATACATCCAAGCAGATTGAGTACTTCTCATCGTAGACACTGTCTGGATGCACGGTCATTGCGTTGAATATGACAGTAAAAATCCAAGCAGCAATGCTCACGCTGACCGCAGTCTTGCGTTTTCTAAAAGTGCAAAATTTGAGCGGGTGAACGATGGCTAAGTAGCGATCCACCGCAATGCAGCTCAGAAGCATAGCGCTGGTGTAGAAGTTCGTGAAGAGCAGGAAAACACAAATGACACACATCGTCTTCCCGTAAGGCCACTCGTCGTAAAGAGTGACTCGAACCCACACTGGTAAGCACGTGATAAACAAGAGGTCCGAGAGAGCCAGGTTAAACAGATAGACACCCAGCTCGTTCTTCTGACGGATGAGCCGATACGACACAAACAGGAAGAAGACATTGGATGGGATGCCGATCACGATCACAGCCAGATGCAGGGCTACAAATACCGTCTTCTCGGGATATGCAGATGGGTAGCAGTCTTCTGATTCGTTCAGGCTGGAGGTGTTCATCAATTCGCCCATTATGTTAATCTCAAGGCAGCTAGTTTAGAAATAAAAACATTTTTTACTATGTGAGAGTTTTACTTCAGAGTGGAATAGCAAATATGAATCAAACTGTTGCAAATTCAAAACTGTAGCAAAACTTATTCACCATTGCTCCAAACCTCTTTTCATGTTGCTATTTTCTATAAGTCAGCAGTGCCCACTTTGCTGGGCACTTACAGTCGAATGGAACAAACTTCTGAAGCGATAAGAGAAACATACAAAATGCTGCTATAGAACTGCTGCTATAAGTGAATGTGGATGGATGCTGCTTAGCTCACGGTCATATGATAGCAGATTTAGAAGTTTGAGGTCAGTAAGATTTTTACATTTTTAAATTTAGATTTTTAAACAAGATTCTTCTGCTGCTCACCAAGGCTGCATTTATTTGATTAAAATACAGTAAAACCGTAATATTGTGAAATGTTATTACAATAATATAATAATTTAAAATAGCTATTTTGCTTTAATAGCTCATTTTAACATATTATAAAATAGAGCTCGACCGATTTATCGGTCTGTCGATTTAATCGGCCGATATGAACCTGTCCCAGACATATCGGCATCGCCATATATGCCGCAGATATGCCACCGATAGGAATTCTTTTTTTACAGAACATAAAACACAGATAAAATGCTTGAAAATGGTGCAATTACGTTGTTTGTCCAACTGAGCGCGCTCCATTTTTTGCTACTAGCGACCTGGATGAAATGCTTTAAAGTGTATGGAATACCATTGAAACTTTGAACGGCCATATCTCTGTAATGGCAGGGGGGGACCGCACCAAATACAGGTGGCTTGAGTTTGTTGAATGTTGATTTAGCACTACGCTGTCACCTAGTTGGAGAGATGCAATGCTATTAAGCAGCAGTTCCTAATCCTGTTCCTTGCGACCCCCCGCTATGCACATTTTGTATGTTTCTCTTATCACTTCAGAGGTCTGCTCTATTCAGCCGTAAGTGCCCTGCGAAGTGGACTTTCTGCCATGATTCCAGTTCGAAGGGAACGTACTTTACCTTCAAAGGGCATTAAAGTGCGCGAGATGTGAATTTAAATAGTATTTATTTACAGAGGTATATTATGTTACACTTCACTAGTAAGTTTCGTCTGTGTGTGAAGAAACACTATTTGCGTGGTGAAAATCTGAAATTCCGAAGTGAAATAAACTTCAGCTGAATAAAGTTGAATGGAATTCAATTGAAATAAATTTGAATAAACTTCAACTTGACTGTTCAGTGCACTGATGTCAGACTCATTTTGGATAATAAAGTGTATTGTTAAATTGTTAAATACCCTGCCTCCATTACATATTTTTGTCATGTCATTGTAAGTGTTTGATCACCACATTTGATTGATCATTAAAAAAAAAAAAGTGTTTATATATATTCTGTTTATGTATTCTATATATAGAACCAGTCAAAAGTTTGGACACACGAATGGGAAAGTGTCCAAACTTTTGACTGGTACTGTACTATAATATGCACATAAAGATTATCATCTGATATATCGATATCGGCCTTTTTTACTCACCAATATCGACATCGGCCCTCAAAAACCGATATTGGTCAGTCTCTTTTATAAAACGTAATTTATTTCTGTAATGCAAAGTATCACATTTCATTTTTTAAGCCATTTGAGAGCTATGTTTTCATCTCTTCCTCACACAAAACTATCATATTTGTTTAGAAGACTTGTAATGTACCCTCCTTGTAATACAGACTTGTAAGATTGTAATATATGGACTTTTTTACAAAGCTTAAGCTCAACAGTCACTGGTTGCTTTTGCTGTACAGAAGAGCGGCATCCATATTCTGACTAAGATCTGCTTATGCAAAAGAAATAAAGCCACATGAGTCGAGCGACATGAGGGTGAGTAAATAATGAGTGAACTTTCCCTTTAAGTGGATTTATTTACTGTCCCACAATATCTATCACAAAACAGCCCTAATATTACTAGAATAACATTGTAGCTTCAC